TTCTCAGTAGCCCTGGCTGTACTGGACTCACTTTGTAGATCAGGCTGGCCTTGAACCCATAGAGATCTGCCTGCCTGTGCCTCCTGAGTGCTGGAGTTAAAGGCCTGTGCTACCATGCCTGGCAGACACTTGGCTCATTTTTATGTGAAATAAAACAGCATTCTTAGGTGATAGAAGGTGTCTTTCTGGGAATTGGAATGCAGTGGGTGTCACAGTAACAATTCTGGGCACTGTAAAATGAGATGGCTGCCATTTTGTAGATTATAAGGTGTGGAGAGGGAGGGAGGCAAAAAATGAGAGATAGGGAAAGGGAGCAGAAAGGAAGGATGAAGAAATATGGAGGAAGTGAAGGAGGGAGGGGCCTGTGGAGAGGGCTCAGCTTGCTACAGAAGCTTGAAGAGGAGAGTTAGGATCCCAGCTGCCATAGAAGTGTTGGGTGGGCTTGGAGGCTGGCCTGCAAGTGTGCTGTGCAGAAGATAGAGCAAGCAATTAGCTAGATAAACACACCATCAAGTTTTGGGGCCATCTGAGAGACCTTGGTAGAAAATGATTGAGGAGACTCTCATGCCTGCCTCAGGCCTTTGCACACATGTGTATAAACACATATCCCTACATGTCCTCCCATATATGCAAGCAAACACACAGACACACACCATATATACATAATATACACAGACACATGCAAAAGAAAAAAGAAAAGGAGATTGTGGTGGTTAGGAGAAGAGGCAACCTCACCTGAAGAATCCCTCCATTATGTTGGCCCGTGGACCAGCATTTTTGTGATTAATGATTGATGTGGGAGGGCCCAGCCCACTGTGAATGGTGCTGCCCTGGGCAGGTGGTCCTGGATGGTATAAGAAAGCAGGCTGAGCAGGGCGTGGTTCAGCACGCCTTTAATCCCAGCACTCGGGGAGGCAGAGGCAGGTGGATCTGTTTGAGTTCGAGGCCAGCCTGGTCTACCCAGAGGACAGCCAAGGCTACACATAGAAACCCTGTCTTATAAAAACAAACAAACAAACAACAACAACAAAAAAGAAAGCAGGTCAAGCAAGCCAGTAAGCAATGTTGTCCCATAGCCACTGCTTAAGTTCCTGCTTCTAGGGTCCTCTCTTGACTTCCCCCAATGGTAGACTGTGAGCAGTAAGGTGAAACAAAGCCTTTCCGCCATAGACCTGTGAGGTGGCACTAGGACAGGGAGGGAGAAAGAAAAGCAAGCCACCTGGGGGCTTCGGGTCTTGGTGAGACATTTGTAGGTGGTAAGCACCGGATCTTTCACCAGGGTGGTTTGCACGCTGAAGCTGGAGTTATTTCCCCTCTGATGCCCGGCTGTGACCTTTTCTTGCTTTACTGTTTTCCTGAACAGTATTAGAGGACCCAGTGTGGTTGACCTGGCGCCGTGTAATTAGCTGCACAATTAAGTGTTGTGTCCCTGAGCAACAGGGTCAGATGTTCAACAGGGAGGTTCGGGAGGCCTGGGTGCCCAGCGCTGATGCCCGTCCTGCTCTCTTCTGCACTTTTGACCTTTTGGCAGTTTCTAGACTGCATGGTGAGCTGGCTTGAGGCTGCCCAAGGCAGTTGCTCTGGGAAGTGTCAGATGTGTTTTGAATAGTCAAGAGGAACCTTGGATGTAAGGTGTCCCTTTAGGAATTTCATGGCCCAGGGAGGGTCCTCTTCTCTCAAATCCCTGTCAGCGGGATTATGTGGTGCTTTCAGTGGGATGGAAGCATTGGCAATCCTGATGACAGTCATGGTGTGAAGAAAAGGTCTTGCAGAACATTTAACCCGTTTGCGTACCCACCCGTTCATTTGTTATCTAATATTTACCGGGTGCCTGTTGCTGGATGCGCCTCTAAAGACCTCAAGGGGGAACACATGAGACCCCTATAAAATGGCATGCACCCTGCTGGTCTGTAGAAATTCGAGGAGAAGCTCAGAGAGATGTGGGATGTGCGTGCTGTGTAGGACACATGTGGGGACTGGGCCCCGAGTCCCCACACACATGAGGTGTGCTATCAGTGCTCCAGAAAGATGGGTTTTACAGCAGACCTAGCCAGGGCAGGATGGGATTGTAACAGGGCTGATTTGGGGGAGAGAGAAGGGAGGAAGGAGGGGAAGGAGAATGCATCCAAGGGAAGGGAGGAAGCAGGGAGATCCTCTCAGAGAACTCACAGAAGATGCCTGCTTGTTCTTTGTGCTGACATTTAGATAAGGAAAGCCAGGTTTGGGGGAAAAACACAAATCAGGAGCCTTTTCCAGAAACATTAAAGCAGGAAGCACTTCACTGGGTAAGGCATCTTGTTAGGCTTATGTTAGTGACTTGACACATTTCTGTGACAAAACACCAGACAAAAGCTACTTAAGGGAGGAAAGGTTTAGCTGGGCCCACAGTTTGAGGCCGCATGGTCCATCACTGTGAGAAGGCAGGGCGTCAGGAGCACGGGGGGGGGGGGGGGGGGGGGGGAGGCTGGTCACGTGGCATCCACGGTCAGGAAGCAGAGAGAGATGAATGCCAGTGCTCGGCTCACTCTTTTTTCTAAGCCCATGGGACTTAGGGTGGGTCTTCTCTCTGTTAAACATTTCTGGAAACATCCTTACAGACACCACGTCCACGGTGACTCTAAATCTCTCAAGTTGAGAGTCACAATTTCAACATTCATGGTATCTTGATGTTTAAGAAAAATGTTTCCGTGTGTGTATGTACGTGTTGATATGTGTGTGGGCACACATGCTTGGATGTGCACCGGTTTGCTGTTGGTGTCTTCTTCCATTGCTATCCACCTTACCAAGGCAGGGTTTCTTGGTGAAGTGGCGCTCACTAACTTCCCAAGTGTTATGATCTGTAATGATGCAGTGGGTGGGGGAGGGTACCGTGGGGGAGGGTACCATGGCGGGTCCGTGCCAAGGTGTAATGCCCCTCACCGAGGAATTACTTCGTGCAACATGTCTGGTATAAAGAAGGTTTTTGGGGAGGAAGGGAGAAGAGTGAGGGTCTGGAGAAGGTGGATAGATTCAGCGAGCGAGGGCAAAGAGAGACAGAGAGGAGAGAGAGAGCGAGAGGGAGAGGAACAGAGCAGAGAGAAGCTGGAATAGAGAGAGATTGAGCTGGGGTGGCAGATGCCCTCATAGCCCACACACACCTGGTACACCTGGCGGCAGCCAGTGATGACTTGAGCAATCGCTAGGACCCTGAGGTCAGGCTAGCTGAATTGCCTGTGTGCTAATACCTGGCCTAGGTAGTCAAATTGCCTCCAGAGAGCTCCTGATTCTATTTTTCAAGTGCTGGGATTACAGACAGGCCACCACGTCCCTCTGACTTTTTTTTATGAGTTCAAGGGAATCTGGACTGCAGCCTTACACTTACAAATACCTTATCCCCTGAGTCATTTCCCCAGTTTGTATATTTTGATATTTGGAAAAGAAATTCACATCAATTAGGGTGTAGCCTATAGAATTACTGTTTGGGCCAGCCCAAGTATGCATGTATTAACAGTTCTAGCTAGTTTGTCTTAACATAAAGGGGAGACTCATTCTGCCCTGAGCTTGGTGATAACACTATACCAAGAGATTTTTGTCATTTTGTGTAAATGGGCTTGAATACAGGTGTCTGTCAACCTGGAATAGATGTAAACTTGTTTGCAGCATGCTTCTGTGTTCTCAGACTTGGACAGCAGCTTTGGTTTACTCTCTGAAGTGAATAGGGTCAGTGCCTTGCTGATTGTCGCATGAGCTGCAAGTGGCAAATCCAGGGACAGTCTGTCCCCGATGCTCCTGATAGACGTGGGTCCAGACTTGAGATGGCATTGTGCTTGGGGGTGCTTTCATGGGGGCCACTGACACTGAAGCAGATTGTTGGAGGCATGTCAGTGACATTTCCAAAGAACTAGGGATCATCACGTGACTGGTGCTGTTGTGGCCTGCAGCAAGGCTGGTGCAGCTGTGCCTGGACAGTCAGGGTTACTCAAGCCAGTAGCTTCCTGTTCCGAAGCTCTCTAAATGGCTGCTGTGGGTTGTGTAATTTCTTTGTCTGGATTTTTTATTATGGAAAATAAGGCAAACTGTAAAAATACATGTTGGATTTTTTTTTTAAACCCCCAGAGGGAGAACATGTTCCCTAAAGAGATAAGAAAAATATTTTTTGTTCATTGGCAGCAGAACGATCTTCACAGGTTATGAGTGTAATGAAAGGTACATGCTGCCTCATATTCTTGGCTTGAGGGTCCGGGCTACTCAAAGGACCCCATGGTCAGCATGGTGTGGTCACCCCTTTCTTGTTTCTGGAGGTCTCTCACCAACTCAGGTTCCACTTCTCTTCTCTCTACCCTTCGATTCACTCCAGAAGGTATGGCATGTGACTGTGGTCTTTTTGCTACATCTTTTGTCATTTCTGGACATATGGGGGCAAAAAGGTCACTCCCATTCCAGTTTGTTAAACCTGATTGGTCAAGGGAAAACCCATTGTTTATTTGATGAGATGGTAGTTCTTTTTCAACCCTTACTCATATCTCCTCTAGCAAAACCAAGAAACAAAAAAACTAAAATGCCAGAGGTCCATATCAGGCATCTTCTACAATCTCTCCCTACCTTAGTTTTTGAGACAGGGGACTCTCCTGTCTCCATCTCCCCAGCCCTGGACACAGGCATACTGACATGCAACACTGTCCTTTTTATTTTTATCTTTATTTTTTTGTGAGCTCAGTCTTTGACGGCTGAGCCATCTCTCCAGCTTGTTTAGCTTCTTTTTTTTTAATAGGGATTCTGGAAATTGGTATTTCTTTCCACCTGCTTGCATGGCAAGCACTTTGTCAACTGAGCCAGCCATCTACCCAACCCTGTTACATGTATTTTCCATACACTGATTTGATTCAAAGAAGAAACACTGGATAATTCATAATTGCATCATGGGTCCAAAGGTGAGGGTGGTGGGTTACCAACGTACCCTACAAGTCTATAAATCCGGGGTCCCAGGATCGCTAACACCTGCCCTCGGTTCCTCCCAACAGTGACGGAAGGCCGAGGGATCCTGGAGAGCATCCAGAGGTTCTCCCTTCTTCCCACCTACCTCCCGGTGACGTATCACATCAACAACGCCGATGTCTCCTTCTTCCTGAAGGAGGCCAACCAGGACATCATGCGCAACTCCAGCCTGCAGTCTCGGGTTGAATCCTTCCTGATCTACAAGTCCAAGCGGCTGCCGGTGCTCAATGCCAGCTACGGGCCCTTCTCCCTGGAGCAGGTAGTGCCCCAGGACTTGATGCTGCCTTCTAACCCATTCGGATTCACCAACGCATTCTCTCTGAACTGGAGGCTGAAGGCCTACATCCTCCAGGAGAAAGTCTACCTGAGCCATCCCAAAGTGCAGGTGCTCTTCCACATCGTGGGCCGAGACTGGGATGACCGCAGGGACGAGAAGCTGCCCTGCCTGCGGGTCTTTGCTTTCCGAGAGACCAGAGAGGTTCGGGGCAGCTGCCGTCTGGGTGGGGCCCTGGGGTTGTGTGTGGCCCAGCTGGAGATGCTGCCTGGCTGGTTCAGTCCCCCGACGGTGGTGTCCGGGCGCAGGAGGCCCACAGAGCAGCCGGAGGGGAGCCGCGTGGAACTGTATTATGCCGTTCAGCCAGGGGATGAGCGAGGTGACTGTGTCACGGAGGACTTGAGGAAGGGTGGTGGCGCTGCGGCGGGCCACAATGATGTCGATGAATCTAGCCCCCCTTTGCACAGAATTGGGAGTGTCTTTCTTCGGGAGACCCCCAGCAATCCGCCTTTGAGGGATCTGCGTTTGGATAGCAACGTGGCCGTTCATTATGTTCCCAAGACTGTGAGACAAGGAGATGTGCTCACCTTCCCCATCTCCGTCTCCAGGAACTGCACGGAGGATCGCTTCACACTGAGGTGAGCAGGTTCTCTTATCTGGCTGCGGCAGCCCTGGGGGCCCAGCCAAGCTGTTACGCCTCTAGCGAGGAGCTGCCTGTAGATCCTCACATGCCTGTGAAGTATAAGGGCTAGTTTGATGGTTCCGGTTGGTTGCTCGAGAATGGGCACAGTGTCATTGGGGCGACCGTGTCTACAGGTGCATGAATATGGAGGACACAGGTCAACTGTTCTTGTCTTTCCCCAGATGATGCTTACTTTGGATTTGAGAAAAGGTGACTCACTGTCCTGGCACCTGCCGGCTAGGCTAGTTGGCTGACCAGTGAGACCCTAGGATCCTCTTTTCTCCACCCTCTAGCATTGCTGGTCACTGAACCATGAATCTTTATCGCTATACCCTGTTGATTTACATACATTCTGGGAATCGATCTCAAGTCCTCATGGTTTCACAGTGAGCACTTTGCTGACTACGCTATCTCATCAGCTCAGAAAATATTCTTTATTTTTTTAAGATTTATTTTATTTTTAATTATGTGTGTGTGTACATGTCTGAGTGTATGCATTTGAATGCAGTACCTGCAGAGGCCAGAGGGGGGCATCATATCACCCTGGAGCTGGAGTAATGGATGGTTGTTAGATGTGGATTTTAGGAACTGAATTAGGGTACAGTGAAAGAGCTGCAAGGGCTTTTAACTTCTGACCCAACTCTCCAGAACCATCAAACATTCTTTTTAATATTAATGAAACATCCAGGCTGTCACAGAAGAGTCAAGGAGGCTGTTGGGATCCCTTGGCCTTTGTGGAGGGTTTACTGACAAGCTTCAGGACACTGAGGGTTCCCCAAATCAGCTACTTCACAATTAGGTCTTTAAACACCTCACAGTTTCAGTGAAACTGCAAACTCAGTTGCGACAGTTGTCAGGGAGAAAGGAGAACATGGCTTTGCCAACTCAGAATCTATTCCAGACAGGCAGGCTCTAAGTATAAAGTGGTACCAGCCTTAAAGTTATCACTTTGTTTCTCCCTGGAAATAGAATGCGATGTTTAAAAAAGAAATAAAAGAGCATAAAGGGTGGAGAATATACGGTAGGATCTTGGGTGTCTTATGTAAGGTTGTAGCAAAGAGGAGACATTTAAAGGAAGCACTGTACACTTTAGAAAAATGCTCTGAAATTCTTTTTTGGAATACAGTATGTAAAAAGAACTTGCCTGTGTCAATTGTGACATAACTAAAGACTTTAGCTCCATGTTAAATGTAGGTGAATTTGTATTAATTAGTTAGGACAAGTACTGTTGGCCGAAAAGCAGTGTCTCTCAGTATGACATGACTTGGCCTGCTGTGCAACACATTACTTGTTTTCTTCTTGCTTTTTAAATTTAGTTTTATCTTTGCTTCTGTGTGTGTGAGTGTGTTTGTGTGTGCATACTGTATGAGTGCAGTGGCCACAGATCCCTGAAAAGGGCATCAGATCCCCTGGATCTGGAGTTATCCATGGTGTGAACTGTCTGATGAGGGTGCCAGGAACTGAACTGTGGTCCTCTGCTAGAGCATCAAGTACTTTTAACTCATTAGCCATCTCTCCAGCTCCCAATATATTAATTTTATTGTGACACTTGAGAATATGAATGTAACCGCATGTGGGATCCATGTTGCCTGTGGGTTTTCACGTTTATTAGCTACTGACCTGATTTCAGCATCTAGATCTCTAGCTCCTCTCCCTTTCTTTGTTTCTCCTCTTTTCTCTGTCTCTTTCTTTTGAAAGATCCCCGGAGGGTATCTTCCGTCAGAGAGACCCCCTCCCAAGGATCAACGAGGCCATTCGGATGCAAACAGCAAGAGGCTTTTATTTTGATTCACGAGTACTCGGGCAGCAAGGTCACTCAGGAGGACCTTGCGCGCCCCCTAGATGGGAAGCTGGGGTTTTTATAGGGTTTTAGAGGCAGAAGCACTGGTACAGAAACGAGAGGGCATGGTTACAGGGGGCTGATTGGTACGTTTACACGAGACCACAATTTGCGTCAAAGTTTGGCAGGGGCACCAAGATTCCAGGAACTGGGTGGTCGGGGGGGTAGGATGACCCCTTGACGTGGCCCGCCACCTGTTATTTTGTTTTTCCCTATCTTAGCTGAAACAGTCTCACAGATATCTATGAGAGTGATTAACACAAACTGTTTTTAGTATGACTGGGGCAGCCTGACCACAGATATCCCAAGTGGGTGACACAGTTAGGATTTCTCAGTAATTTTCCAGTTTCTCATCTGGCCTTCAGAGTTTTACAAAACAGTGGTGTCTCACAAAATGGCATTAGCTATGTTTAACTTAGTGTGAGGCTGGGGTCTTTCACTTTCTTCCACTCTCTTCTTATGTTTTGTTTAGGAGTGGTGAGCTGAAGGAAGCAAGTCATTCTTTTGCTTTAACTCACAAATTTAAGTTGAGTTAATTCTGACCTGGCATCGGTGGTTCCTTTTATGATTTTGACTGAAGCAGTAGACATTAGTGAACAACATTTGTCTAATGATTGAATTTGGCTAAAACTGGAAGGTAAAAAACCTTGGCTTCGTGTTTTGTGCATCTGGGGATTAGCTAAAGGGGCGGGTGATGGAGAGAGATCTGTAGAGCTGTGGCCACACTTCTGCTTCATTTTGCCCCTGTCTGGCAGATTGTGCTGCGGCTGGCCACAAGCCCTCCCCATGCTCTGCTAGTGTGTGCTTCAACTTCCAAATTCAACAGCCTTATGTAACATCTTTAAAGGTGCCGATTATAGAGAAACTACTTTGTTTAGAAACCATGGCTTTAGAAAGAGGGAAGGGCTTGGGCTGGAGAGAGGGCTCAGGGATCAAGAGCCCTCACTACTCTTCAAAGGTTCTAAGTTCAGTTCCTGGCACCAGCACCCACACCCACACCCACACGGAGGCTGACAACTCTCTGATGCTGTCTACTGGGGTGCAGATGTGCATGCAGACAAAGTACCCATATGCATAAAATGCAGAAATAAATAAACAAACCTTAAAAATAAAAAGAAGCCAGGCATGGTGGCACCTGCTCTTGCCCCAGAACTTGGGAGGCAGAAACAGATGAAAATCACTGAGGCCAGCCTTGTCTACATAGTGAGTTCTAGGATAGCCTGGGCTACATAGAAACCCTGTCTGCATAAATAAGTAGATAGATAGATAGATAGATAGATAGATAGATAGATAGATAAAATAAAAGTAAAAATAAATAATAAAAGGGGGCCTTTGCTATAATACATACCATCCTCTCCTGGGTCTTCATGCTGCTCACTGACTGGTGGTTGAATTCTTGGGCCAGAGGAGGAATCTCACTGTCCCCTAGTCTTCTAGGCTTTTCTGGAAACACCTCTTTGTATGTTTGTGTGCTTCACTAAAGCTTGTTATCCTGTCATCATCTGTGATACAGTAAATATGTCCCCTGGAGTCCTGAGAGAGAACAGCTATCTTAGCTCTCCAATAAACCCAAGAGGCATCCCCATTGCTGGGCCACAGAGCCCATGGGGTTAGGCTTAGGCCTTTGAACATTCATAAACTAATACAGAGCATGCTTGTAGGTTTGTTAGCTCTAGTTGTAAGTCACAGATTAAGTGATTTCAGATACAAAGAAAAAAATACACTTATTTAGAATCCATTCATTATTAATTTGGTTTTAATATTTTTTCTTTTTGGTAATTATTTTTACATTATATTTAACAAAATGTATCTACTCTACATTTCCCCTTTCAACTCTCCGCATATCCCCACAACATTCACCCTCCCAACTTCATATGGACATAGAGTGGTGTCATCCACTGGTGCTGGAGAAAGCTGCCACTAAGATCATCCTCAAACAAACAAACAAACAAACAAAAGGTGGCTCTCCTTTCCCCAGCAGCTACCAGCTGCTACTAGTTCCTCAGTAAGGGGTCGACCTCATTCATGCTGGGATTTTAGGCTACATTGAAGTTGTACAGGTGATCACAGCCTCGTGGGGGCAGCAGCCATGTCACACTCAGATCACAGCATTTCACAGCTCTCTGCCCCTTCCTCTGCTTCTTACCTCCTTCCTGCCTCCTCTTCTATGATGTTCCCTGGGCTGTGGGTGTCTGCCTGCGAAACATGTAATATACTCCAATCTCAAATGGACCTAATCCGTTTATTTAAGTAGACAATTTAAGCTTGAACCTGGTGATGGGGTGGGATTGTCATTTGAATCTCCACAAATAGGGTTAGGCTTATCTGTGTCGGTGACCTCATGAGAGATGCTGTGGAGAATGTCTGAGGGGGGAGACTTTCTATTCTGGGTACCAAATGATAAGTACGTTTTAATGAGTGCTCTCTTTCTCTTTCTCTCTGTCTCTGTCTCTCTCTGTCTCTGTCTCTCTCTCTGTGTAGGGGTGCAGGGGTGATTCTACCTGAGAATAAGAAAGCCCCAATAGACAGCTGGTTGTCTTATAAAAATCTTTTTAACCCTGCTGCTCTAGTCTTGAAGCCCCTGTTGTAGAAGAAAAGCAAAGCGCTTTCATTTCATGGACATCCACGTTCCTTTAAATGTCAGAAAATGTTTTCCTTCCCACGAATGGCTGAAGCACCCACAGGGCTTGTGCCCTTTGCTCTGAGGTCCCACTCACCATTCTTTCCCACCTCTCTCCCCACAGAACGTAGGGTTCAGAAACTCAGATTGCCCAAATGCCAAACTGGAGATGAATCCAGGGACCCTTACTGTCCCTCTACACCAACTGTCCCTTTATCTTTCCTGCATAGAGACTGAATTTCTAGAAAGCCCTGATCCTCAGGTTGGAATGGGGCTGGAGCCAAATATTTATTCAACGCCAAGGGGACAGAGACCAGAGCTATAAAAGGCTGAACTAAGACAAAGCAGGGCTTTTCCCAAGGGCCATTCTCAAGTCTATTGAATGAAGAGATTCCACTTGATGATAATGATCATTATCAAAGACCACTTACAGCCTGCAGAGGGCTCTGCACTTTGAAATACTAAATGGCCAAGAGCTCTTTGACAGCCTTGCACC